GAATTAATTAGTCTATTTACGGTATGGTATGTGGTATGTGTAATCCGAAAATGATTTCAGTAGTTCATCATGTAAGATAAAATATAAAAAAATATCGGCAAGTTGCTCATATTAAACAAAAATAACATCTTATATTCCGTCAACTGAGTTGTTTTTAATCACTACATTTCTGTGTGACTGAACCGTCTGCATTTCATTCGAAGTAAAGCTTTAAAACGCAGTTAAAAAATAGGTACATTCAAGGCTGTGTGATATGACCTAATCTTAAAATCAAGATAAATTGGGCGGTTTTAACTCAATAACGAAAAATGCTCCGACTCCTCTACCTAAAGATAATGGCATTAGCAGGAAAAGTATTTACCAAATCACATTGCATATTACCTTCTATTGAATATTAACGTCTTACAACAGTTCAAGTTTAAACATTCAAAAATGTCTCAATAAACACGGAAAAAAAAATCAGCTCTCTTGTAAATATTTTAGCAAAAGGTAATGGAGCCTTTTGCACATCTTTGAAATCAACAGGTTGGTTGTGCTGCAGGTGGTGGAAGAGGTTGAATTTTTTACTTTGCAGAATGTTCTGCATGGGGCACAATAAGTGCAGAGTGCAGAAATTCTTTCCAGGTTCAGAAAGTACTAAATAAACACTCTGAACACAATTGTTGGTTGATATTGTTGAATTTCCCTATTAACAAATGGTTTAAGGGGTCTTTTTTGTTGTTGTTCCTCAGATTTTTTGCACATATATTAACAATGATTCTGTTTCCTAAAGAAAATGTTCCAAACCAGCAAGGCCTTAGTATGTAATAAGGCCCGTTTTAAACAAACATTATTTAATTGTGGCTACTGTTTAAAATATTTGAATTAATATTCATTACTCTTAGACCTCAAACCTTCCAAACTGTTTTAATGAACTCTGCCTCAAAAACTGTGTTTACTTTGTCACCACACCCAGAGGTGTGCAGGCTTATCTAAAAAAATAAAGTAAAATGTCTGAAGGAAAAGCCGTCTATTTGTTGCAACACGCCACTAGCAAAATGAAAACACAATCAGTAAATAACGCATCTGATGTTTGCTGCCTTCACCACTCTGAGCTACAAATAAAGCTGATTACGGTGGTCTTCTCATTTTACAAACAAGCCACCTCCACATGTTCAGCCCCCATAAACACACCAAAAAAAAAACAACAAAAACCTATGCTAATGTGAAGGCATTTGATTAGCAACAATTATGGCCTTGGCACTGGCTTGTACTGTATGATTACTTCTACTCAAGGCTGTTTTGTATGTGTTATATAAGTAATCACAGTCAGCTAAGCCTGGCTGTCACCTGAATTATGCAGCCTATTACATACCCTGAGATGGGTTTCAGCTCTCCTTATTTGGAAAAGATGTTGGTGATAACAATTTATAGTAGTCCATGAAAATAGAGTTTTCTGATTTGCTTAAATTAGTCATCACAAATCCTTCTCAAATTTTCTTTGATTTCATTTTCATTAATAGGTAAATATTATTATTTTTTCTTTAATGAAGCTCATTCGAACCTCCTTTTTACCCCTTTTCGTTTCTCGTGAGGATACACACAAGTTTGACTTGTGTGTCTGCAGGTTGATGCGCTCTGCATTTTTATTAAAAAGGCATGCTTTGATTGGTCGCAGCTAGAACTGAGTGGAATGAGTTCTAGCCCAGCTTTACACGTGTTGATACGCTCCAATACAATAACAAAATGTCAGCAATGGCACAGATATTGAGAGACGAGCCTAACCAGCTCGAGTCTTTCGGATTTGAGCCATTCATGTTTGATTCAGAGTTGGAATCAAGAAGTGAAAAGGCAGACTGTGGAATCTGGATCTTCCATACACTAGTGGGAAATTACTACACTTAAGCCCCATATGTGGTAGCGGTCTTTTGCCCAAACACACCCACTCACACAGAAAAACACATAGAGCACTTTAAAAACATCAACAAAGCCAAGCAAGAAAGTTATCATTACATGATTGAAATCTGTATATCAGATCCAGATGTAATGTTAGTAACATTAGCAGCTTTTGTGGCGTTTTTTTTACCTGTGATTTACACACACACACACACACACAGAAAAAGATGAAGCAACAACACTTACCAACTGAGTCTCTGAGCAAGCAAAGTAAGAAGGTGCATGGTTTTAATTTCTTCTTTTCAAATTTTAAAAAGTGTGCTGTTAATGTATTCAGCCCTTTAAATCAAAGTTTAGTAGAATCACATTTTGCTTAAATTTTTGGAACACATCCTTACCTGGTTCATTGGTCTAGAAAAACTCAGCAAGACTAGTTTCTCACTCCAGTCAAATCCATGAATATGATTTATCTAAACCATTTCATTGGATGTTTGGCCATAAGATTAGGGTTGTTGTCTGGCTATGAGATGAATGTCTGTCTTAGTCTTAAATCTTTTCCAGTCTCTAAGAGTTTTTCCTCTAGGAAGTTCCTCCATCTTTCTGCCAACAGGACATTAATAGATCCATTATGTTACCAACACCAAACTCTCCATTAGGCATAATGTGTTTTACATAAACCTAGTGAGTTTCAGATGGGGCTTGTGTCCTCAAATTGATAATATGTAGGGTTAGCTGTTCTCCTCAAAGGGGCTAAATACAAATATATGCCACGTTTGCCCTGTGCTTTAACTGCAAAAAACAAAAAAAAACAAAAAACGTCTATAGATATTTTTAATCTTGTACTATCTGTGGGACTCTGGAACTTTCTATCAATGAACTGGTATTAGTTCTGTATCTAATCCTAACATTTTCAGCTACAATAGTAGATTTGTATTTATCTTGTGTAAGGAAATCACTCAGCAGACAGCACAAAGTGTGAATCATTATCACAATGCATACACTTCAACTGATCACAGGTCTGACCCTTCAGTTCCTTCTGTAGCTGCTTTGACTCTTTTCAGCTGGAAGGGAGCATGCTCCTTCTCTGGAGTTTTCCAACATGTCAGCTGTTGCTGTCGCTTTGCATTATACATTTGAGCCCTCCACTCAAAGATGCCCACACGTCCTCAAGCAAGGATAGGGAGGACACTCAGAATATAGATGGGTGCTTCCTGGGTTCATTAATGTCGCCTGAGATGTCTCCTTACTTTTTCTTGCTCAGCTCTTCTGTCAGCGGAATACTGTCTAAAGAAATAGCACTGACAGGAGTAATTAGACAACAATTATAAGAGCTTGTGTCCAAGGTTTAATTTGGTCGGAAGCAACGTGTATGTTTCATCTTTTGTTAGACACTTTCTTTTGGCTCGTTTTTCAATGCTTGAATAATATCTTTCCTGGATATGCCGCATTATAGCATAGTTATTATTTTGTTTTCTTTTTTTGGGCCTTTTTTTTATGTTTTCTTTGTTTGATTCTGTTGTCTTGCTGCCAAACAAATAATACTCCAAGGACAATTTGAGTTAAGTTTAGTATTCATAGTCAGCATTTGGAAAGCAAGTATGTTATTTGTAGATTAAACAATTTATGCTTTGCCAAACCATACTTTTACCTTTTGCATGTATTTATACATTCCGAGAGATGCTATGAATGCTCTAACCCTTTTGTGGAAGACTGACTTAAAATGTTGGCGATTAAATCAATTCAATTTTTTTTTTTTTTTACTGAACTTGAATGGTATCTAAAAGTAAATGAATTAAAGCAAACACGCTCAAAAAGGGTTAATTAATTTAAAGTGCAGACAACAAAGTTGACAGATAATGAATCAGAATTTATGTCAGTCCAGCTACACATAAGAACAGCTTATTGTTTTCCATAGAAGGGGAATTTTCTCAAATCTTTATTTAAAACTCTCTTCAAACTTAACAAAGATGTAAAGATTTGTTTATTTTTTACTCCAACATTGATTATGGCCCTATCATATGCATCTGTTAATAATGTTTTCCAGTAAGACGTTTCATCAAAATGAATAGAATGTGGTGGAATTTTATAAGATTGCCATGTGAAGCGCACGTGAATTTATTTGGTTTACAGTACAAAGATCTCTCAGCAGAAGCACATCAGAGGAAAGCAAATGTACTTGTATTGCACATAACCTTAATCTTTCAAAGTGCTATACATGAACAAAAAAAAAAAATGCATTGCAATGCATGCAAGTTTCACAGAAACAGTTTTATAAGTGTAAGGTCTTTGTTAATATTATCCAGTTTGAGGATTTTGACATGCATCAGGGAACTAAGAAACAACACTTGAAACTTTTGATTGTTAAAACTCTAGAAGCACATAGAAGAACATTTTTTAAGCAGTATGTCACTGGGATTTTTTTGGCCCAGTACAGTACGAAATAATCCCTGCAGATGTGCTGGACCTCTCCATTGTGATGAGTGCTCTATGATTAATTTACCCCAAATGAAAGGCTGTATTTTTAGCCTGGCAGTGTGGACAGCACAGAAATGCTTTTTTTTCTCCTTTCTGTCAAAGAAGAATTGGTAACAGCAGAGAAAAGATGTGGCGCCTCAGTGATCATTTGTCACTGCCCTGTCGAGGTGTGAAGGATGGAGTAATCACTAGGTTATTTCTCTCATTATTTCAACAAAGTTTAGTATTTTAAATTAAGTAGCTGACAGTTAAAATTAATTTGATACCAACAATCACCATTCTTTTTTTGTTCAAATAACCAAACGAAAAAAGTTTAAACTGCCAAGTTGACACTTCTGTGGGGAATTTTCCTCAGTGCTTGTTTCATGGATGTCAGTGCCTAACAATACACACTTTCTGCCTGGAGCAAGTGTTAAGTGGCAAGATTCTTGCTCTTACATCTGATGTCAAGGTTAAGGCCAAGGAGGAAATGAGAGTGGCATTTTACCAAAGATGATTCTAACAAGGAAGACTGGGCATTGCTCATTCTTTTTTTTTTTCCAGTTAAGCAGTGAATATTTACTTTGTTTCACAGGGAAAGGCCGTTTCTGTCCAATTTGAGCAAAAGTATTTATTTACCAGAAATGTGCTGCTTTTGCTTGTCTCTGCAGGAACTCTTTACAGCAGAATGCAAGTTCAAAGAGTCCGTGTTTGAAAACTACTACGTGATCTACTCATCCATGCTGTATAGACAACAGGAATCAGGGAGAGCGTGGTTTCTGGGGCTCAACAAAGAGGGCCAAGCCATGAAGGGGAACCGAGTGAAAAAAACAAAACCAGCTGCTCACTTCCTGCCCAAGCCATTAGAAGGTATGTAGGACCATGCAAATGAGTTCATGCCCTGTCAATTTAGCTACACGCTTTAAAACTTGTAGGGGGTCTAAAAATATTTAGAATGAGAAATTTCAAAAGGTGTTGCATATTTGTCTTTAGACATTAATGTCAAACTTAAGTATACCACCATTGTAATTTGAACACATCCATATTCTGGTAAAACATACTCTGGTGCATAGTTTTCACATGCTACAAGTTATCATGGTTACTTTTTCCTTCAATTCAGCTGGGGATTTTAAGACAAGGGGGTTGAGATGACAAAAAGGGGGTATCTCAAATAAAATGTTGCGAGTTATGTTTTAATAGCCAAAGCATCGTTGTTATGACTTTATAGTTTTTAATAATCATTATATTTTTCCTTATGGGCATGTATTAACAGTTTTTATGAAATGACCCTGTGTGATGCATAATATTAAAAAAATAACACAAAAAAGAACATGTCCAGGATTTTGTTTAACTCTAGAACCAATGTTTAAAACAGCTCTCCACTCACTCTGGCTGTGCTTAATCCATTTGCAAATAAAAGAAGGCTTTAATTTGCACAAGCACAGCTGGTTGAGAAAAATCTTATAAAGGCATGCAGCTGTATTTGTTATTTGTAGTGATCCAAGGGACTGAATGGAAATGCAAAACACAATCATCAGATTTTGTGCAGGTAAAATAAAAAAACAGTTTTTCTTTAAGATTATAATACTTCCTTTCATTCTCTCGCCAAAAGTCACTATAAAATACTTTGATGCTTGTGGGTGCAATGTGACAAATTTGGAGGAGTTTTTATTGCATTACCTATTAAATGCACTTCATCTCAGGCTTAAGTCGTTTGATTCTTAGAAAACCTTTTGGATTTTCAAATTTCCATTTAATATAACCTGAAAATGACCAATGCTTTTATTTACAATTATCTGCTTCAATCTCTTTTATTTGCACCTTGTATTGACAAACAGATATCTTAGAGGTCACTGTTGCCGCAAGGTTTGAACATTATGCAATTAAATGTGTAGTAAGGTACATTTCAATGCTTTGTTGCTACTAAGCATAGAATACTGAAAAATGCTGAGCATCAAAACATTTATGACCCTTGTGATATACAGAGACAGCTGTCGCACACAATAAGACTTTATGCAATACTTACCATAGGTACATCCACTATAAACCAAATGACTGCATTTGACATATATTTGTATCTGTGAGCTGATTTACTACACTGCTGCAGGAGGCACACGCTATAGGAGGCAGAAACAGCTCTGAGAGTGCTGCATGAAATGTTGATAGTCCTGCAGATGCCACCATCACTCTCATCAGCCATCGGCCCTGATTGCTGCCCATCATTCAAAACACAGAATCAAACTGAAGTGTCTTGTCTAAATAGTAATACAGCTGTGGTGTGCAAGCTCTAAAAAGGAAGGTGATAAAATGCAAAAGGATGTACTTGGATATAAAAATCATCCCTGATCAGGGAATAAATTAGTTGAATAAAAGCAAAAAACCCTTGTTTTATTGTATTGCATGTGTTAGCTTTCGACATAAGGATATTGCAACTTAAAGTGCAGGTCTTTCAAAAGTTTTTGATATATAATTAACATTTTTCTCAATTCAAGAGACAGAGAATGCAGGTTAACAGGTTCTGCTCTCTCTCTCTTTGCTTCCTTGATGTCTTCTCCTCCAGTTGCCATGTACAGAGAGCCATCGCTGCACGACGTCGGAGAGACGGTGCCCAAGGTGGCCGTGCCTCCTAGTAAAAGCACAAGTGAACCAGTGGTGATGAACGGAGGCAAACCTGTCAGCAAGCCCGACAAACCGGCCACATAGCCACACTTGACCAGTGTCCGGCGTGAGTGCATGTGCAGGAGGGGAGGAATGTAATGGAGGCAGGTCTTTTTTTTTTTTTTTTCTCCAGCTAGACTCCAAACCCTCCTTTTTTCCTGTGGATAACATCCAGCTGAGACTCCTTTCTTTTATTATCTTGCTCCTCCTCCTCCTCCCTTTCTCTGGCTATGTTGGCACAGACTGAATCTGGGATGGCTCAGTTTATCCAGCACAGGAGGAAAGAGGACTTCTGATCCTGTAATGCCTTTAGATCTCTTTAAAATTGTGAGAATTGAACTGAATGGCACGGGGTTCACACTGACACTTGATGCTATCTTTGTTGGAAGAACCTCCCTCTCTATAATGCCCTGTCGCAGCAGAGTCTAAGTACCTTCAGATCTATTTTCTATATCACAGTTCACCAGCTATGTTCTGGTATAGAGACTGTATAGACAGAGTTAATATTTGGACTGTTGTCCTATATTTTTTACAAGTATGTCCCCGTTTCCTTCTCTTTCTAATGCTGGTCACATACTTAAATTTTTTGTCAAAAGAAAACTAGAACATTTTTTGGAAGGGTAGTTGTATGATTTTTTTTCTAAGAAACACAGCAAACACAAAGTGAACTAGTTCACACTTGAAAGAGTCCAAATAAACCTTTTTTTTTTTTGTCTACAACATGCGTATACCTTAAAAGCAGTTCAAGAAAGTTTGAACAGCTTCTTTGTGGCGCATAAAAACACATTGGAGGCTGGCAGACAGCTTCTGTAATCATGGTTGATGAAGTGCTAATTACCGCCGCTGCAATCAATGTGAGGAGCTCCCTGAACACACACACACAAACACATACACCAACAAAAACATTTCTAAACAGATGTGCGTGTGGGTGGGTGGGAGAGCGCTGTAAGGAAATGGTGTATACATATCACTATCTGTGTCCCACCAGCGGTTTAGCCCGCCTTCTCTGGTGAATCAAGAAAAAGGGGGGGAAATAAAACCTGAAGTCTATTTTTCTTTAATCTTATTTCAGAGCGTGGGCTCTAGGAAATATCTCTAGGCCTTGTAGGCCTCTGTTCCTCACTCACCGACTTCTTTGGACATTGAAGCAAGGCTTTGTGGCTTCGACCCAGATGGTCTTTAACTGCAGCAAATGGCAGCCATCTTATGGCAGCGTCTACTTAAAGCAAACAAAACAACATGGCTGAAATCCAATAGGTGTTATTTATATGTGCTGCATCCCTATTTGGTTCACCAATCTAAAGCATGGACAAGGTTACTATTGTTCCCATTTTGCAGCAGTTATACAACAGAAGGCTTATAATGTATCTGTGGCTCTGTATAAAACCTAGGGAAAATGACTTATAAAAATCATAACTTTTTAAAGGACTAAATTATATATTATTATTATTATTGTAAAAGGATTTGTCTCCTAGCTCAGCATGCAGAGTCCAGTACTGATCATCTCGGCCTATCACGTGCCTGTTTGGACCTTGATTCCCGGCATGCAAAAACAAGATCCCAGTACCCACTGGGCCAAAGGTGCCTCACTCACCCCATAGATCCATGTAGAGGATGCGTAGCATTATCCATCAAAAAAACAACACTCAGATATGGTCATTCTGAAAAAAACCAAAGCACTTTTTTTCATCCCCAGAAAAACTTAGTCTCGATGATTACAAATCGAAAAAACTAAATAAATCTGACCCGTTCTCAGATTTAATCCATCAAAGCTTTCACTGTGACAGCATTTGTTACTCGTTTGAAAGAATCAACTGTCCTCAGACCCCAGGTGGTCTTGGCTGATGTCACTTTTTTGAGACGGATGTGCGTATAACCTAAATGAATCACATGCATGTATTTTCTACCAGGAACAAGGTATGGGCATTGTTCCTCCCTCTCTACGAGCAGGGGGGGGCACTAAAAGGAGCTTGAATGGGCATGTTGCAGGCTTTAGCACGCTGATGACTAATCTGAAGGTAATCCACTGCACTTTGATTTGCATTTTCATAATGACTGTTAGTGGATTTGTTTATTTGAATTCTTTATTCTTGCTTTACTCATTTTTTTTTTATAGAATTTAACATGGTAAGAATTTGGATAGAAGTAGATAGTTTACTGCTGTATGCTGCTAAAAAGTGCAACTTCATTACAGAATTGTTATGGTTAACATACTAATCTGTTTTTATTTGGGTTATACATATTCAGTTTGTGATGACTAAAGCACATTATGTATGGTTTAGAGACATTTATATATTAGTTAAAAGCAGTTGATAAAATAACGAATGGTAGGCTTACACACACCTACACGCACAGGAGCTGCAAACCACTTAAGATGTGTGCAGGGCAAGGGCAGGTTTTGCCCTTTGTACACCCTGTCATCCTCTAGTTCCACAAACTCTACATGCTGGGCTGGTTATATGCTCTGGCCATGCGATCCAGAAAACTGGTTCTTTCAAGGCTGAAATAACGCTTCATAAGGACTAGTGTGTACATGTACATCTCTGTTGTTTTTTTGTTTTTTTTCCCTTGTTTTTTGTGTATAAATTGTTTGTGCCGTTGCTTCCAGATCCCAACTGGTTTTGCTTTGTTATCCCCGTATTCAATTTATTTAAGATGAATATCCTTGAAATTCTATTTGCAATCAGAGCATATTCAAACCCTCTAAAAGTGATTGCACTAATATAGGTGAATAATGTACATTAAACTAAAATATTTATTAAAACTGATTTGATTTGTGTTGATGACAGAAGACAGAAGCCTGTTCCTGTGCACATCAGACATTTTACTGGTCCAGATGGTTTCATCTGTCCACTGATGTCCAAACATGGTCCTCTTATCCAATTTTCCCCCATCGTATTCCAAATGATTAAAGATGATTGTTTTGATCCAGAAGTCTTTGTTTATTATGTTCTTTTCCTATAAGTTTCATAAAAGCATTTGTCGCATCCTTTAAAAGATAGATGTCTTGATTTCAAACAGGCATTATCTTACAGTAGTTGTCCTGACTAAATTGGTTTGTTTTCTAATGTTTGGCTAGCTCTACCACAGAAATGGTAGAAAGCCAAACATTAGAATGGCATCACACAGAAGCAAATAAAACTCTTATACCCCAGGACCCTCAGGTGTGATAAAATAATCCCCTCTTCCAGTTTATATAGAAGCCCCTTTGTCTTTCGCATGATTGTAACTCATCATGCATACTTTCATCCGGTTGATATATGCATCATTACTGAAGCAAATGGAGGATCATTATAGAGTTCTTAATTATGTTAAAAAGGCTTAATGACTTTTCAACTCCACTTTAGGCCGTAAAAGCTCACACAACTCATGTACAACAAGATGCATCCTGCTTTTTAGGAAAACTCGGATAAATTCCTAAAATCTAAGAGGGTTTGAATAAATCAAATTGCAACTGTAACTTTTTCTTGCTTTGTAACCTTTTGTTTTGTATAATGTCCCATCTGTTGCATGGGGAGAGGATGGCATTGATGAACTGCATGTAGTAGGCTATGTCTATTAAGAACCGTTGGTATGTGCCGCAAATTTTACATAATATATGCAATGAGTTTGTCTACACTATACAGTTTGTGTTTGTTGTATACACTTATACAACATGCTAAATAAGATATTTATATAAATGCGTACTGTAATGTCAGTAACTTAATACCTAATGCAATATAGTGTGCAGTATATTATTGCACTTGTCATTTTTGAGAGGACAAAGAAAACAGAAAGGGTTGACTAGTTTACGCATGAAAAAAGGCCAAAGTAGAAATAAAACCTTTTCTTGGCGACCTCTTATTGGTCACATTTCAAGTGCTGACTGAACTCTTTTTGTCGATGCATCTCCCATCCCCTTTCACTATGTTTTGAAGTGACATGAACCATCCAGCATGCCACAAACTGAAATATTTATGCGCTCCTCTTTGTTTTCTCCACTTTAACCTTCTCACTGCAAGGAGAGTGGGAAATGACATGATGGGCGGCTTGTTTTGGGTTGATTTCTTGGGATATAGAGGAACAAACACTGTTAAAATGATTTGTTTTTTCAAAAAAATATAAATATATAATATACCATTGCAAGTATGCTCATTGGAGTTTTGTCATGTAATATCAAAATTTGTAACCATGTATGATTAAGGTCTTCGCATTGTTTTCCATGCAAAATGTTGTGTCATGTGGCACATTTAATGTTTTATTATGAAAAAAGAAATAAAAAAAATTTTAAAGAGTAATTTCCAAGCATTCAAAACATTTTTCAGTTGAAATTAAAAAGGGAAGTTAAGTGCAATACATGAAATTCTCTCTGCAGCATTTGGATTTTCAATATACCTATATACTATTCCAAAGAATCTTGCAAATGTTTGTTGCATTCTCATTTAACTTCTTTTACATGTTTTCTCATTAAAACTACATGCGTTTAAATGTGTTTTCTTTTGATTTTGTTTGATTGAAGAACTCAAAGTAACACCTATTTGTGAAGTGGAAGGATAAATAGTTTCCAGAAATGTAATGTTTGCTTATGCATTTAGAGCTTTTTCTCTAAAATGAATTTAAGTAAAACCAAATGCCTTCTGAATTCTTTAAACTAATGAAATTAGTCCATCGATTTCTTTAAATCTCAGTATAAGTACAGTTATCCTTCAAGTCTCAGAGGTCTGTTATAGAACATTGGAGAAAAACAGCATCCTATTTACCAAGGTTCGCAGCAGGCAGGTTACTGACAGCAATCATGGTTAAATATGGTTCATTAAAGGGTTTTTACAATTTCATAGAACAACCTCTCAATCATATTAATAATAATCAGCTTTATTGGTCTCTGCAAATGTACATTACAATGAGGTTTCACCTCTGGATTTAACCCATCCCTTAGGGGAAGGAGCCTTGGGACAAAGGGTCTTATTGAGGGGCCCAGGGTTTGAAGTTGTCATTGCAGTCTTCTTAGAACCCCAAGTGCTTTGCTCTAACCACTAGTCCACCATGCTGAGTAATCATCCAAATTATCAAAACAGTTTGCAACAACTTCAAACCAGCCAAGACATGTTCATTTACTTAAACAGGAAGGTCAAAAAAGCAGAGCATCAATTAGCAAAGCAGGTAAAAGCTCATGATTATGTTGGGTCAAATTTGGCTGTTATTGAAGAGTAGCACAAAGACAACCAATGATAAGAAAAGATGATAAGAAAACCTTTTTTATAGTTTGCCAAAAGCTGCTTAGTGGGCAAAGAAAAAAAAAAGGGCTTTATTGCTCTGTATAGAATATCTAAAATAGATCTGCAGCCAAAAAAAAAAAAATAAGCAAAGAGGGGCTGAATACAAAAACATGCTAGACATGCTGGACCAGATGTGTGCTTGAAAAAAAAAAAGTAATACCATGTAGCGTTTTTCTTTCCCCTACACCATTACAAAACAGAATAAAGATGGAGGGTGACCATTTTTTTTTTTAATTCAATTTATTATTTCCTATTGATGTTTGGACACCTATCCAGGGATCTTTGTCAAAATCTGATTGCCTTCGAATTTAAACCTGTTGGGCTATGACCCGAATGACTGAGGATTTACAAAAGCCCTACACCATTATACAGACATTGCATTAGTCTATCCCAGGCATCCCCAAACTCGGTCCTCAAGGCACCCTGTCCTGCAGGTTTTAGAGGTTTCCTTGCTCCAGCACAGCTGATTTTAATTGAAAGCTGATTTTGGTCTACTGCAATCGTTATAACCAGCTGTGCTGAAGCAGAGAAACCTCTAAAACCTGCAGGACAGGGGGCCTTGAGGACCGAGTTTGGGGATGCCTGGTCTATCCCATTCTGTATAATCCCAATAAATGCTGTGATAAAATTATAATGTTCAAGGATATAAATACTTTGGTAACCACGTAACTTTACCTAAAATATTAAAAAAGAGGTGCTGAAAACTGGAAAATGTTGGCTGTTTCTTCGAAAACATCACTGTACAGTCTTAATGAGCATATTTTGTAACCAGTACAATAAAAGATTGAGCAAAATTAGGATATTATATTAGTGGTATGCAGATTTACATCTTTAAGTTTTCTCTCGCTGCGTTCTTGTCCTGACCAGTGGTGGTCCTTCTGGTGTTTTGGGGCATTGGGAGGCTCTTGTTTTAATGTTCTCTTCAGTATTCTTCTCCCACCCAGATTTCACAGGCGTTCCCTGTCCATCCTTCCCAGCAATCGCAGCTTCCGCAATTGCAAACACCGTTTCCTGTAAGAGGATGTAAGAAAAAAGCTGTTAAGTAACACAGACAAGCCATGATGCCTGAACTTAAAGGTGAACTGAGCAAGTTTGACAGTTTTTTTCTTTCCCATACATGTTGCTACATTTGCCAAAATTAGCTTTATTCTATTTACCATGGTTGCCTCTATTGGCTCCAATAGTTGTTTCATGAGAGAGTGGGTGTGACTCGCTGCATGCTGTCGTTTACCTGGCTGCCAAGTTGAGTATCCTCAAGAGAACATGCAACACTTTTTGAAGATGGATGACAAAGACCAGCTACAAGTGGACCTTAAACCACTTCACAGACCCCAAACAAGAGTGACAATAAAAACTTTTGTCAAGGGCGATAAAAAGGGTTAAAGTGGAGTCCAAATGGGACTGGAATAAGAAGGGAATAAATATTGGGGAAACATTCATCAAATAGGAAAATCAGATCTGCCCTGGAACATAAAAAGGACACAGAGTTGGCCAGGATTTGCTAAAAATGTCAGATGCTCCATTTAAAATAACTTAAGTATTTATAAAGCTTCTGCTCTTTTTTTCATCCATGTGCACAACACTGGTATCATTTCATCTTCTCACCAGAGGAGATAAACTTCTGCAAAAAATCTGGAACTTGCGTAAGGCTCCTTTAAACATGAGATACCTCTTTTCAGACAAGGTTTTCATGGGTGAAGGAAGAACTATTTTTCTGCTCTGGACAGATTCATGTTCTCTTGTCTTTACTCAGGATTTAAATCAATGAACTATTTGAGACATTCTACATAAATCTACTGGATGTTTTTCTAATGCTATGATCATATCAGCTGCTCAGGTCAACCTAATGAAAACTTTTACATTTAGAACATTGGTTTTGGCCCTGATGCGTAAAAATAAAAGAAATAAAATCTGGATTTATCCATTTAATTCATCCATTGCGCTTTATCCCAGCTGGGGTTGCGAGGGGTGCTGGTTCCTACCTCCAGCTGTCAATTGGCAAGAGGCGGGGTACATCCTGGAGTAAGTATGTTTTTTATTACCTAAATCTTTATGTTTGCATTTCCTTTAAAACTAAGATTACATAAGAGCAGGTCTCGCATTTCTGGAGGCAGACATCTTGACGCTATGGCAACCCAGACCTGACAAACTAGTGACTCTAGAGATTGTCATTACACTCAAATGTGACAAAGGCACGTTAGGCCTATATAAAATCTATATCCATATTTATAAAATGATCTATGTAAACATATCTTGTTATCACTTGACAAGTTAGGTGAAGCTGACATTTTTTACCATGACTGTCTCCATATTGTTTGAGGAAGGGAATTAGTGAAGGGAGCAGATGCAGTCTGACCACTAGATGTCGCTCAAAATTATACACTATGGCTTTAAATAATTTCATACATCTATTTGTCTGTTCATCTCTAAATTTGACAGGTGAAGATAAAAACGACAAAAAAGAAAAAAACACATTCACATTTAATCAAACTTTTGTTACG